CGCAGTGTACTTCCTGTACGTGAGCTGCCCCGGCTCACCTGTCCTGTAGCCTCATAGCTGTGTATCTGCAGCGTGAGATCTCAGGCACTGCTGCCTCTGCCTGCTGGTCTCAGGAGATTTGGTGATGTCGCTGCTGCGCTGCTCATTGGCTCTGACATGAGGAAGCAAAGCCCTGCCTCTACCAAGATGGCCGCCCCCACACAGAAACTTGTTAAAGATGTCACCAGCACACCACATTGAAGTGAAGAACACGTCTGTTTATTGACGCTTCATGTCAAAACATGTAACAACGTTTCGGGGGCCACACAGAGCCCCCTTCATCATGACGTGTTCTTCACTTCAATATGGTGTGCTGGTGACAAGTTTCTGTATTGGCAGCGCCATCCGCGGTCACTTTGAGCACCCGCGCTGGCGGTAGGGTCGCCACCTGTCCAAGATTCACCCGGACAGTCCGGCTTACGATTGCTGCGTCCGGGGTTTCATGGCACCAGGCACCCGCACACATGATGTCAGGCAGACGGGGGCAACCAAAATTAAGATCGGGGCTACTGGCCCCCCACTGAAAATAGTCTCACCTGTGATATTTACATATTAATGGGAGGTGCTATTTACATATGACTAAGCCACGACTCATTCTCCCCCAAAAATACCCTGTTTCCCCAAAAGTAAGACCTAGCACTATTTTTCAAGATTCCTGTAATATAAGACCTACCCCGAAAATAAGGCCTAGTTTGGTGGTAGCATGTGAGGGGGAATGTGAAGAGCAGGAGAGATGGTGTCGGCCTGCAGGGACATACTGTATTAAGGGGATGACATGACCGTGCGCCTACATGACAGGTCGGGTCCGGCCTTGTCTCATTGGAGGGGACCGTGCGCCTACATGACAGGTCGGGTCCGGCCTTGTCTCATTGGAGGGACCGTGCGCCTACATGACAGGTCGGGTCCGGCCTTGTCTCATTGGAGGGACCGTGCGCCTACATGACAGGTCGGGTCCGGCCTTGTCTCATTGGAGGGACCGTGCGCCTACATGACAGGTCGGGCACTCTACTCTTTTTTTGTGTGCAGGCGGCAGGTCCAGTCTGGTAGCGCAAAGGGTTAACTCCACTGATACTTTCGGAATGTTCCTCTTTTCCCCCCTGGAACATTTCCGGTGGAGTCTGATGGGAAAATCTCTGTTTACATATTTATAACCCCGACAAGCCGAGCTCTCTGGCCGAGCGAGGAGGAGAACGCAGCAGCTGCATGCGAGGTGCATCCCAATCTCATCAACAGAGGACATCTCTCCCCTTCCTGCAGACCACCGGTGCGATCCCTCCGTAGGGAATCCAGAAATCGCTCACTCCTACATTGTTCATTAAAGATGAACTCCGGCCTGATGAGAATCCGATCCGATAAAATCACCGAGCACAACAAATCTCAGGCGCGGGGGTGAAGTAAACACTCAATTAAAGTGGAAGTGAACGCATAAAGTGAAGATCTGCTATGTTATAGGTAAGATGTGGAACTGCGCATGAGCAATACCGCGACAAATCTCCCTTTGTCACGGTAAAATCGCAGTGTACTTCCTGTACGTGAGCTGCCCCGGCTCACCTGTCCTGTAGCCTCATAGCTGTGTATCTGCAGCGTGAGATCTCAGGCACTGCTGCCTCTGCCTGCTGGTCTCAGGAGATTTGGTGATGTCGCTGCTGCGCTGCTCATTGGCTCTGACATGAGGAAGCAAAGCCCTGCCTCTACCAAGATGGCCGCCCCCACACAGAAACTTGTTAAAGATGTCACCAGCACACCACATTGAAGTGAAGAACACGTCTGTTTATTGACGCTTCATGTCAAAACATGTAACAACGTTTCGGGGGCCACACAGAGCCCCCTTCATCATGACGTGTTCTTCACTTCAATATGGTGTGCTGGTGACAAGTTTCTGTATTGGCAGCGCCATCCGCGGTCACTTTGAGCACCCGCGCTGGCGGTAGGGTCGCCACCTGTCCAAGATTCACCCGGACAGTCCGGCTTACGATTGCTGCGTCCGGGGTTTCATGGCACCAGGCACCCGCACACATGATGTCAGGCAGACGGGGGCAACCAAAATTAAGATCGGGGCTACTGGCCCCCCACTGAAAATAGTCTCACCTGTGATATTTACATATTAATGGGAGGTGCTATTTACATATGACTAAGCCACGACTCATTCTCCCCCAAAAATACCCTGTTTCCCCAAAAGTAAGACCTAGCACTATTTTTCAAGATTCCTGTAATATAAGACCTACCCCGAAAATAAGGCCTAGTTTGGTGGTAGCATGTGAGGGGGAATGTGAAGAGCAGGAGAGATGGTGTCGGCCTGCAGGGACATACTGTATTAAGGGGATGACAGGGGACTCCCTCTGGCCAGTGCAGTGACAGGGAGCACTCCAGTACCAGACTTCACCCACTGCTGTCCCCCTGAAGGCACTGCGTCATGTAAAGGTACCGTACTTTACTGCGCTGTCCACTGTCTGATGTCCGCACCGCTGGTACCGCTGTCCTTGACGGCAAAGGAAGCCGGCGCTGTAGAAAGCAAAGCTGCGGCGGCGGAGGGAGCAGAGTCGCATTAGCAGATACTTCCTCTATAGCGCCGGTTACGGTGACAGGCGGAGTGACACCGGATAACTTTAGATTGTTGTACATTTTGTTGCACATTAAAAAAGAAGACCTAGTGTGTTTTTTTGGGGGGCAAAAAAATATATAAGACGGCGTCTTATTTTCGGGGGAAACACGGTATGTCCGCGTGTCGCTAGAGTGTTTGGGTTTTGCTGACAGGGACACCCCGGTAAGGAGTGCAGCAGGATTGTGGAATACACACCTCCATACAGAGACGCAGTGCAGCCAGTAATGAGAAAAACGCAGCTGCAGGAAGGTCGGGGAAAATACTAGTCACCAGTCCTTTGCTTCCAGAGTTCGTTCTATCATCTCTCTCTCTCTTCTATCAATCTATCTATCTATCTATCTATCTATCTATCTATCTATCTATCTATCTATCTATCTATCTATCATCTCTCTCTCATCTATCTATCTATCTATCTATCTATCTATCTATCTATCTATCTATCTATCATCTCTCTCTCTCATCTATCTATCATCTATCTATCTATCTATCTATCTATCTATCTATCTATCTATCTATATATCTATCTATCTATCTATCTATCTATCTATCTATCTATCTATCTATCTATCTATCTATCTATCTATCTATCGTCTATCTATCATCTCTCTCTCTCATCTATCTATCTATCTATCTATCATCTATCCATCCATCCATCCATCCCTCCATCCCTCCATCCCTCTACCTCTAGTACCAGGCCGCATAGCTCTCCTCTCTCAGGGCAGCGGTGAGTAACTCTGTAAATATTTGGCCAGCATCTGTCTATGTATCAAAGCTTTTGGTTGGAATATCCCGCCGTGCGTCATCTGCGGTTTTGGAGATCCACAGAAAGTCATTTCATCTGATCTGTTACATAAACCTCCGAGAGGCCAGGCCAACCAGCGTACACCGCGTTCCTCCTCTCCCCAGACTTCCTGTACACCGACACCGATAGCTAAGCCCCGCCGCGGGCCGTGCATCTCAGGTGTGTTGTTGGAGGCTCTGCCCAGATGTATCCTCACTTTCCATGAACGGCGTACGAAGCGTCTCTCTTGCCGGTGGCGGCTGTTATTGCTCCTGAGAAGTCCGTCAGTTCAATACATCGGACTCATTTCAGTTTAATGTTACGTAACTTGTAGGATACAACGGGGGCTGATAGTTTTGCCGCCAAGAAGTGTCCCAAAGCCCCCCGACCCCCTAACATTTCATCCGGCCCAACACTTGAAGAGAGACCTGTCCCTCTATATATAACCCCCCCAAACCTTAATAGGAAACCATGCCTCAACATGAGCCTCTAACACTTCCCTCTGAGACTTAACCTTTACCCATAACTTAAACCAAAACACTCAACCCTAAACCGTAACCAGACCCTAACACCTAAACCTAACCCTAACACCGGACCTAAACATAAAAGTGAACCCTTAACTCTAAACCCCCTTCCTAAACTCTTATCTACCCTCTAAGCCCAAACCTTAACCCTGACAGCCAACTTTTGGAAGATACATAGGTGGTCTTACATGAGGAAGGGAGCTCAGGGTAGGGAACACGTGGTTGTGTTTTCTAGTGGATTTGAGCCAGCAGGGGGCAGGGCAGTGGCTCAGACTTTGTGGTACTGCAGACCCCTGAAAGCATTGTCACCCTCCTAAATATTATCACAGCGCGAGTTGGGGGTTGGGAGAGTGTGCACATTTCTTTACAAATACACAGCATATATGTCACTTGTGTTGCGGTTGGCTTGAGTTGTCATTTCCTTGATACACAATGTTGCGGTTTGCTTGAGTTGTCATTTCCTTGATGCACAATGTTGCCGTTGGCTTGCGTTGTCATTTCCTAGATACACAATGTTGCGGTTGGCTTACGTTGTCATTTCCTTGATACACAATGTTGCGGTTGGCTTGCGTTGTCATTTCCTTGATACACAATGTTGCGGTTGGCTTACGTTGTCATTTCCTTGATACACAATGTTGCGGTTTGCTTGCGTTGTCATTTGCTTGATACACAATGTTGCAGTTGGCTTGCGATGTCATTGTCTTGATGCACAATGTTGCGGTTTGCTTGCGTTGTCATTTCCTAGATACACAATGTTGCGGTTGGCTTGCTTTGTCATTTCCTTGATACACAATGTTGCGGTTGGCTTACGTTGTCATTTCCTTGATACACAATGTTGCGGTTGGCTTACGTTGTCATTTCCTTGATACACAATGTTGCGGTTGGCTTATGTTGTCATTTCCTTGATACACAATGTTGCGGTTTGCTTGCATTGTCATTTCCTTGATACACAATGTTGCGGTTAGCTTGCGTTGTCATTTCCTAGATCCGCCATTCCTCTGCTAATTTCAATATCTTCTTTTTCTGTTTTTAGAACCGAGCCAAGTTTGTCACCTCAGGACACCCCTCCCCCAGCACCAACTTTTTCCAAACATGAGCTTGTCTCACTCGTGGTTCCTGCCGCTGACCATTGTTCTCCTGGTGGATCAGTGCCATGGCCTATTCCTACCCAACAACACCTTTTTGGAGAACTTTTTGAGCAAATACAGCAACAGCGACACCCCTCATTCCCGGAGCAGAAGGGCCATCCTCAAGACGGATAAAGAGGAGATCCTACAACTGCACAACAAGCTACGAGGGCAGGTTCACCCACCGGCCTCCAACATGGAGTTCATGGTAAGTTCTCAGAGCTGCAAAGCTGGAATAACTATAGACATGGCGGAATGGTTGAGCTTGTTGTTGTTGTTGTTGTTATCCTGAGACAATTAGGGAAAAGTCTGTATTTTGAAATACTTCCATGTGTTTTGTGAGAGTTTATGACTTGTTTCTGTGAGCAAAACCCTTTACTTGGTGTTGGGGTTTTATGACCATTGGGTTTAGCTTTTGTAAGAATACACATTACTGTGTTTATAGCAATAACTCCCTCAGTATACATTTTCGGTCACTAGATGGCAGTGTTCTGTTATATCTATGGTATATACTCTGTTGTATTGTATAAGGTAGAGAATAAAGCTGCGGCTTCCTTCCTGTTTCCCGATCCATGTGCAGCACGCTTATCAGACTGTGTGCTTGTGTTTCTCTGTGAGGCTGTGCAAGAACTTCCAACATCTTTATCTCCAACTTGAATGTTGCTGCAGATCTATGAACAGGTCCATGTCAGGTGCTTCCTAATCAGCACTAATGGAACCCCCAAAATGGAACAACTATAGGTTGGGTTTTTTTTTGTTGAAGATGAGGGAACCTCCATTGCTTGTGTCTTCTTAGATACCAAAATGTCTGAAAGAGGTCAAACCACCTGTACACAATCCGGAGGGGTTGGGTCCTTAAAGTCAACTTTCAGCTGCTTAAATTATGGTTGGCACTCAAACCTTGTCCAAAAATGTTTGTTTTTGATCTTTCGAAAATATAAACCATGTTCTTGGGTCCCCTCCAACTCTCCTGATCATGGCAGAAGGAGTATAAAGTGTTTAGCAAAAAAAAAAAAGGTTAAACTGCATAATAAAGTGGAAAAACAAGTGAAAGTGAGAAAGACAAAGTAAACCAAAGTTTTAGAGGTCCCTTTGAATAGTTCGGGTTCTTTTGGTCAATAATTATGGTAAATAATGTTAATTTTTTTCCCTTGGGGGTTGTGTCACGTACCTGAGGTGAGACTGTAGTAGTGAGGAGGCCTCCCTTGCACCTCGGGTCTTGAGGCCTCTGGGGATGGATACAGAGACCTGGCGGACACCGAGTGGCACGAGTGCCGGTGGTATGGAGCACCGTGCATGCCTAAATCCCAACTCCGAGCCGGGGTCAAGTCCAATCGGGCAACGAAGTACAAAAGGGCAAAGCAGAAGAATGGTCAAGTTCCAAGCCGGGGTCGGTTCCAATCACGCAGCAAAGTACAATAGGGCAAGGCAGAAGAATGGTCAGTATACGAATCCGAAGTCAAGGGCAGGAAGCAGGCAAGAGCAGTCACAAGGGTTCCGGGGCCACAACAAGTCCGAACAGATAACACACAGCACAGGAAGGAGGAGAGACTGAAGATAATCCAGCAATTTGGCAGTGTCCAGGTGGGGCTTATATAGAGGAAGTGATAATTGAGGTCTAGGTCACTTCCTGTGTGCCTCCTTGGAGCTTTCCCGCCTTGCTGAATCGTGCCATCTGCGCATGCGCAGTTGGCGCGGATTTGTTCCGGTTCGTGAGGCTACGTGCCGTTGGCGCATGTGCAGGTGGCACTCGACTCTTACAGGTTGTTTTTGTCAAAGATCAGGGCTTGCTTTAAGGTGGACTTCCAGGCCAAACATTTCATTGGGTTTAGAACACACGTGTCAAACTCAAGGCCCAGGGGTCGAATCCGGCCCACCGGGCCAATTCCTAGACTTCTACTTTCAGATCTCGGTATTAGGTTATTACTAAAACCCGTGATAATGGAATGCGGAGGCAATTATGAAAAAGATTAGAGACATTTATATCGTCTTACAGGCCCTTTGAGGGCAACCATAATGTTGATGCGGCCCATGATTAAATTGAGTTTGACACCCCTGGTTTAGAATAAAGTGGGGAAGGCTTAGAACCTTCTGCCAGATCTTCATTGCTGTTCGTGTTGTTGGATATTTCACTTGACTTCCCGTCCTGGTCTCAACTATCAGCAGAGCCGGATTTGCCACAAGGCTAACCAAGGCCCGGCCTCGGGGCAGCAGGGAGTAGATGGGCAGCAGGGAGTAGAGGGGCAGCAGGGAGTAGAGGGGCAGCAGGGGTGTGGAATTCCTATCTCCCGACGCCTGGGACATGCAGTTCCGGGGGCCGGGCGGGTAGTTATTTCCTACATTTAGCCCGGCTTTGGTCAAGCAGAGCTAAATGTACATCGGGGAAGCCGCCGCTTGTTCTGTACAAGTGATGCCGGCGATGTCGCCGAGATTGTGGAGAGGAACGCGCCGCTGCACAGATTACTGTCAGCGGCGTGCTCGTCTTCAGCCGCCAGTGAAAGCCACCAGCAGAGGATCCGCACGGCATCTGGCCGGGCCCCACTGTGCCCCTGGGCCCGATAGCGGCCGCCTGGGTCGCTATGGTGATTGTTATACAACTGGTCCTAACCCATCCAATTCTAAAAGTGAGGCTTTCGTAGGCCCTACACGACGAGCAAGTCATGATGGGAAAGTTACTGTAGAGTATTACGGTCTCTGTGGACTTCACCTTCATGGTGACCTGTAGGACATCAACTCAACTCTAAAGGGTTCCTCAGGCAATATTCTCCAAGTAGGCAGGAAAGTGGGAAGTGTAGTTCCAGAGCCGCTGACTCTGCACAGATTTCTTCCTCCGCAGCTTAGTCATAAGTCTTCTTTTCTAAAGAAAGCAAGACTGTCTGACGGATCAGCATCCAGATGGTTCTCCTTGGGCCCGGCGGAGCAGCTGCTGAGCTCCTGTCCAGCCGAATCTGCTGAAGAGAAAGCTCTTCTGTGTGACGCTGAGCAGGATCTCTATTCTGGTAACCCGGGTCCCAGCAGAGCCCGGAGCGGGGGGCCAAGATCCTGAGC